CAAAAAGACAAAAAAAAAAAAAGGAACTATTTTTAATAAATGCCTAGAAGATCTGAGCACCTTATATGTAACAAATCACAGTACTCAGTTCCTTTTTATTACCCCCAAGTAACTGGCTTAACTTTCATTATCTTTAAGTTTTAGTCTTCTAGACCTAGCTTATCCGATGTCACTCAGGACCAGAAGCAACTTTAAAAAGAAACAGAAAACAAAACATAAAACAAAAGCCATTTGTTTCACTTTTGGTCAAAACATTAGCACTGCCAGTAATTTCCTAGCAATCACATCATCGAGGCAGGAAATGTAGCACATCTTCAACAAAGAAATAGCTCACATTCTGATAGGTAAAGCTGAAGGGGATGACCCTTGAAGTTTCCTCGGTCCTTTCACTTGTATAACAATATGCTCAGTTGAAGGTTTTTTCAATAGTCAAGACAGCCTTCAAGACATCCTGAGTATATCTCTCAGGCCCTATAATTACAAAACTACCCAACTAAAACTTCTATGTCTGTGTAAAATTTATGAATTGGGACAAAGGGATCAGAGTGATAACCATCTTTCAAGGTCATTTCCATGGTGGCATGTGTCATTTGCTAGTGCAACACTGTAACACCTTTGGTGTCCCACCTCCTTTTTTTTATTTTTATTTTGGTTTTTGGTTTTGGTTTTGTTTTTTTGAGACAGGGTCTTGCTATGCAATTCAGGTTGGCCTTGGACCCACTGTGTTGCCAAGGCTGGCCTTGAATTTGCAGTGATCCTCCTGCCTCAGCCTCCTGAGGGCTGGGATTACAGAGTGCCCGCCACCATTTCCTGAGGAGAAGAAAGAATAAAGGGCCTGAGGGGCTGGGGATTTAGCTCAGTGGCACAGCACCTGCCTGGCAAGCGCAAGGTCATGAGTTTGATTCCCAGTACTGGAAAAAAAAAAAAAAAAACAAACAAAAAAAGAATAAAGGGTCTTCCTCACTCACCCAGGCTAAATCCCCTGGGATTTTAACAGCTCCACAGTTACCTTCCAGAGAATCCAGAACCCAAGGGCAGTTAAAATTGAAAGAGTTTTTGCCAGGCATGGTGGCGCACACCTGTAATCCCAGCACTCAGGAGGCTGAGGCAGGAGGATCCTTGTGAGTTTGAGGCCAGCCTGAGCTACAAAGTGAGCTCAAGTCTAGCCTGAACTGCATAGCGAGATCCTGTCTCAAAAAGACAAAAAAAAAAAGTGGAGATGCACAATCTACTGTTTACTTAATAAGTCTATATGAGCTTCTTAATTTACTATTCAACATCTATATCAGAAAAAGCATCTATCAGGTATACACATATTATATAAAAACTTCTTCCTAAACAATTAGATAAGAATTGAGCAATACACCAGATTCCAACTGCATGCAATGCGATTATGTGACTTCATATAAGTGGAGAGGGATGCATTCAGATGTCTCTGGGGCCACACAGCATGACGCTTTTCCATTCATCTTCAAGGATACGACCCTTCCTATAACCCAAACACCTCCACAGAGTGACGTAAGCTGACAGGGATCAATAACATAAAGATCGCAGGTTTCCAAAGAAAAATAAAAATTTGAGTTTTCATGGAATAAAGCCTGTAGTTACGCTGAGCTTCCATGTGATTTACTATGTTTTTAGTTTTTCTTAATAGTCTCTGTTAAAACACTTAAGTAATATCTAGGCTGGGTCATCTATAAGTCTGGCGAGCTTAATTAAAATGAAAAAAAAATTTCCTATTGAATAGTTTCACACTGCAGTAAAGAATCTAACCAAACAGGGGATATGGTTCACTTCAAAGTGGAGGCTACACTTAGCAAAGGAGAAAAAAGCCCTGCTTTGTGATGTTACAGCCCACGAATTAATCCAGAAAGGTCTGGTGGGCTTAGCTGTGGACAGGGAAAGGAATCTAGCTAAGATTTGGAAAACATTTCTATGTGCACAAGCCAGGTCTCGCTTATCTTGGGGTCCTCTAATTGGACGCCGTAAGTGAGGCACTTAGCATAAGCTCCAGGGTAAGAAGGACATGACAAACTGAAGCGGAACAAGATGACTTGCGGGGAGGGAAATGAAAATTAAGTGAAGATCGCTGAAACTCAAAGTCATATAATTGCATTCTGGCCAGTTGGAACCTCGTGTACTGCTTACGTTTGGTCTAATTGCTGTAGCAACCTTTCTTACAAAGAAACAGAATATGTTCGAACTTAGATCATCAGTTAGTGGACATAATAATGATCAGCAATTAAATTGCTGCAGCTTTGAAAAATGTCTTAGGCACAGTGGCCTTTCAAAAGCTGTTTACCCTTTTAAACTAATGATGTTCAAAAATGCACAGGACTTGCATGTCCACTTGCTTTATAACCCTAGTTCCACACTCACACACCTTATCAAACTTCCAGCACCAAACCTGTATCAAAACTGGGCATGGTGGCACACGCCTGTAATCCCAGCATTCTGGAGGCTGAGGCAGAAGGATACTTGCCAAGTTCGAGACCAGCCTGGGGTACAAAGTGAGCTCAAGGCCAGCCTGAACTGCATAATGAGACCCTGACTCAAAAAAAAGAACACCTTATATCAACAGTGTAGTATGAAAAAAGAAATTTGACAAACATTACATTTATTCAGTGGCTGTGGTGTTTATGCCAATTCACACAGCATCAGAATGTAATTTTTTTTTTTTTTTGGCAGGTCCTTTATCAACCAGTAAGAGCAGACACAAAAAGGCAGCCTAAGAAGGGGCAGACTCTTCCAGTGAGGTGGTGATGGTTTCTTCCAAGCAACTGACAGGCTGAGGAAGAAAAACACATGGTTTCCAGTGAAAATTGGAATAATAATTCAAGTGCTAAAGTATCATATGTCTCCAAACGCAAAAGAAGTTCCAGTGAACGCAGCTAATAAAGCCTGGGGGTCCCAGCTGAGCTTCTGGCAGACCCAGTTCTGAACGGGTAGCTGGCAAGAGCAGAAAGGGCAGCTCACAGGGGCGGGGAGGGTACAGGCGAACTGGAAGCGGCCACGCTCTGCAGTACAGGGTGCCTTGGCACTGAGGTATTTAGGGAGCTGATACAATCAAGTGCTGCGCTTGATACAGTCACCAGTCACAACTGGATAGCACATGTCCCTGATTCATGTTTCCAGACATGCAGGGGTGTTTTCACTTCCAGAACCCTGTAGCCTCTTTTCTTTTTGTCTTTTTGAGACAGGGTCTCGCTATGCAGTTCAGGCTGACCTTGAGCTCACCTTGTAGCTGGGGTTGGTCTTGAACTCAAAAGGATCCTCCTGCCTCAGCCTCCCCAGTGTTGGGATTATAGGCATGCGCCACCACACCAGGACTCACTTTTTAATGTCAGTGTGTAAAAGTCAATGTGAACCAATTTTCTTTCCCATGAAAGAATGAGAGAAGTTGGGCCAGGAATACAGCTCACTGGAACAGCGTCTGCCTGTTAAGGGAAAGGTTCTGAGTTCGATTCCTGGTACAAAGAAAAAAAAATACAAAGTTCACATCGAACGCTCTTCTGTTCAAGATTTCTTGAAAGACCAAGAGTCAGGAGTGGAATGAGTGAGGGCAGGTAAGTTTCTGGGCCAAACCACGTAACTACCATTTTCACTTTAGATCTGAGGACATCAGGACCCATCCCCCCCACACACAACTACTGTGAGAATGACTGTTCATTTTCCTAAAAAAAAGACTTGTCGTTTCAGAAGTTTCAGCTCTACAGACAGTGCGAGTACAAAACTCGCGCAACCCCAGGCCGATTCCTCCATTAACAGTGTATATTAGTGTGGTCCGCGCTGATCCATTCATTTTCTACGCTCCCGACTTCCCTCGGGGCTCCTCGGGGATTCTTTCCCATCTGTCCAAGCATCTTTGGACTCTTAACGGCTTCAGATTTTAGCTTTTCATGACCTGGACGGTTTTGAACGCTGGTCAGGGACTTCGTAGGAAGGCCCTCCGCTGCGAGAGCTCGGTTCCGGCTGCACTGAGGCTCGTGGGGAGCCGGACGGCCAAGCGTTTTCACCGCGCCCTTTCCGGGGCGGACTCTCAGCACGACTTCCCGCTGTGCTGTGGCCTTGATCAGCAGGCTGGGGTGTCCTCGCGCCCCTTCCTCCCCATACACTACTCTGGAAGGAGCTCAGACGAGCTGAGTTCAGCGCTGGGCTCCACTTCCTGAAGGCGGAGCACCTACCTACAGAAAGTCTGGAGTTGCACTGCAGACTGAGATCTTCTAGTCACTCACATATATCAAGTAGACTCAGGGATATTTCACAGTTGGGGTTGTAGCCCAGCTTTCTTTTGTCGCTTTGACATGTGACATAGCTCTAGCCACGTCACTTTCTACATTGTAAGAAATTCCAGGCATAGTTTCCCACTCCATGTCCACAGCCATTTCTCCGAAGAGCCCCAGTTCCCTTGACTGAAGGATATCAGAAGCCAAGATAGAGGGTTACTACTGGAAGACGTCCACTTTTATTAGGGGACCGGGTGGGCGGTGTTAACACCCGCTCAGCATGTGCAACCCCTAGCACTGGAAAAAAAACAATTTTTAACAATTTTTTAAAAAACGTTAAACTCATACCTGAGAATAAAATCCCCAAACACACATGCGAGTTTAGTGTTTTCACTGAATGGCACGAGTGGGTCAGTGCAGTATGGGAGATGGCCAGAAAAATGTGGTCGGGAACCATCCATGCCTCCTTTCGCTTGTATTTCAAAGCCAAATCCGTGGGTTTGGGAGGGGGCGTTGGTGCTGAGGCTTGAACCCAGGGCTTTCACGCTGAGCTCGATCTCTGGCCCCCTTTCTTATTTTGAGGCAGGCTCTCACTGAGTGGGTAAATCCCCAGCCTGGCGTCTTCCTGTTCAGCCTGCCCGAAAGGGAAGCGTTCTATGCGGTTTGTCTAAGAACACCTGAGAACTGGTTTTTCATTAACCGGTTCAGCTTTGGGAATGGAATTTGTAACCCCTCCTTGCTATGGCAGGTAAAGAAAAAAAAGGCACAACAGGACTCTTTTAGGCACTTTTTATTTTCCAAAAAAAATTGTCATTAATATATAAACATCTCATTCTCTCAAAAAATTCTACAACTATACAGCTGTTTGCTCCATTATTTGCATAGGAAATGACCACAATACAAAAATAAGAGGGAAAAAGAAGCAAAACAGCAACCAATTTATGCTTTTTATGTAGGTATGTTTCCACGTATAAACATTTTAAGCCTCTTACAAAATTATTTACACCATTTGTCACCTATTTACACATTTTAGAGCAACTTTTCTAACAAACGAAACTATAATTTATCAAGTTATGAAAATTGTTTTCTAAAAAAAAAAAAACTTGCTATATTACCACAAAATAAATAAAGATAAACAATATTTTAAAAACAAAATTAAATTTTCATTTCAATTAAGACCCCTGTTTGGCATTTTGCTTATTACCCTGCCCTTTGGTTAACAGCGTCAGCATCACTTCGCTAGTTTCTATTGCATATATGGAGCTCTCGCCCCCTCGGGTTCCCACACACCATCGATACTTAGAGCAGACACTGAGTCCGTATTAACACTAGTTTAACTGCACTGCACTGTAATTTAGGTCAAATTACTGTGTCTCGCTGTATTTTACATGCAAAATCCGCATAAGCGGTCATTTAACCAGCAGTACTGCAGAAGTGAACATCTCAGGCTACGAAAACTGCGTAAGTTCAGCATTGTCATATGTGAAACTACCTAAGTCCTTCCTTACACAAATGATACCGTGTAGCTTATTTTAAGAGGTTTCGCTTTTGTATAGTGTAACCATTTTTTAAGCTCTTCAGTTTACAATTCATATAAAACTCTTGTATTTAAAATAATCCTATTTTAATCAGTGCATGAAATTTGCCTTTTAAAGTTCATTTGAGTGATTATTCCTCCCCCCTAAAAGAAATGAATTTGGTAATGTTGAGAGGTATCTCACCACAAATCCTAACTGTAAATGTAGTCATGGTTATTCTCAAAAGCAGTATGATTCCCCCCACCCCCGTCCAAAAGAATCCTTAAAATCTTCTAATAAACCTATAAAGCTGATTTGCATATTTACAAAATTTCAATTAGCAAATATAGGCAACTCATATATATTTAAAAAAGAAAAAACACGTTTGTTCAATGGCTATTTGAGAATTGCCGGGTACGCTGGGTACCTAAGGAACTGTATTACCTCCTTTCACAAAACCTCTGCCACGGCAAGGCAAAGCCGCCGGCGCTAACCCTCGCGGCTCCCGGCGCCCTCCGGTCCCCGGCTCCCGCGTGCCGATGCGGCCGCGGCACGATGACACCTGCTGGGTGGAGGGAAACCACGACACGACAGCAAGCATTCCAGATTCTTAAAAGGACCAGACACTTTGGTATGGATACAATGTATTCCCTGTTTTCTCACATATACAAAATATACATTTCCAGTTCTTGCGTCTTCTCCAGGAGGGAGCGGCGGGCGGCGGCGGCGCTCAGTTCTGGTGCCTCTTCATGTGCAGCGCCAGGTGGTCGGAGCGCGAGAAGCTGCGGTTGCACACGGCGCACTGGAAGGGCTTGGCGCCCGTGTGCTTGCGGTAGTGGCGCGTGAGCTCGTCCGAGCGCGCGAAGCGCCAGTCGCAGCCTTCCCACGTGCACTTGTAGGGCTTCTCTCCTGTGAGGAGCAACACACGGGTGAGGCGGCCTGCTACACACGGCTCTCGCACACACATTCACACCCGCTTTCATGCACTGAACAAAACAGAACATTTTAAAGCTGAATGGCTTCTTCCCGAAGCGGGAGGTAAATAAGGGAGACGCGCCTCTCTCTCGGGGGTCCAGGCTCACCCTGACCTTGCTATGTCCTCTTGTCCCTCAGGCCGGACACAACCTTGCAGCAACGCTCCGGCCCCAGCCTCTAAGTGCTGGGTTACAGGCACGCATTGCCATGCCTGGCTTAAAACTGAATGCTTTTAAAGCTTTGTGCATTTGATATTTAATAAATCCTTTAACCACAAAGTCTAGTGCTGCAAAGTTCACAATGGTAAAGAGGCAGGAAATAAAACAACCAGGACAAATCTATTTGCTGGTATATGCATTTAGTTTGTTGCATGCCCATAATCCCAGCACTACGGAGAGCTGAGGCAGGAGGATCTCATGCGTGAGGAGTTCCATCTGGGTAACTTCACAACTGAGCAAGACCCCATTCTCAAAACATAAGAAAAGCACTGGGGAAATAGCTCAGCGCAAAGGCCCTGAATTCAATCCTAGTACTAGCAAAAAAAAAAAAAAAGGGGGGGAGGAGATAAATTTGCATATTAAGAATAGGTAGGCATATAGGTCAGTTTTTATGTGACACTTTTCTCTGGATTCCTTTCAAAAATGCTTGCTTCTGAAAGAAGCCCAGAGAAGCTTTCTTCCCCAATGAAATTCAGTCTGTCTGCTCAAGTAAGTAACATCATACTTAGGGAGCCACAGGGTTGCTGAATCCGAACCGTGAGGGACAGGGTCCACACGGCTAAGGTCCCCACAGCTTGTGGACTGTGGAGCCTCACAGTCCACACCTGCACCACGGCTCCCACTCGGTTCTCAGGAGACCCCTCTCCCCTCCTACAAAACACACCAAGTTCCTTCTCCATCTTCTCTCCTGCCTGTGACCTAGGGACATTCTCCTTCTCACAACAGACTCTAAGCAGCAATGGAAACCAAAACACTCAGACCTAACTTTTTTTTGAGACAGGGTCTCCTGTGCAGTTCAGGCTGCCCTTGAACTCATTCTGTAGCCCAGGCTGGGCTCGAACCTGCAATGAACCTCATGCCTCAGTCTCCCAAAGAGTGCTGGGATTACAGGCATGCGCCACCACGCCCAGCTCAAAGATAAATTTTAACGTGAGAGATAAATCACTTTTCTTACAGTTACATAACTGTTCAAACATTTTATTATCAGGAATAAAAGTGGCTATCGTTGTACATATAATTCAAATAGAAGAAACAATTTTGTACAAAATCGTCTGGTTTTGTTCCTCGTGGAAATAAATTAAAGAAACAAATATATTGGTTAAGTACTATCAGTTAATGGAAAAAGGCTATTTCTGGTGTCTGAAGCAGGGAAAAAAACCTCCCAGAGCCCCAATTTTAATAGAAGTCATTCTGGTTTGTTTTTTTTTTAACTTTAATAATTAAATAGCAGAACTGTATTTTCAGAGTTTATTTAAGAAACAAGGGACACTAGACTCTTTTTGTTCACTATTTTTATTGGCTATGAAGCAATAAACTGCACCAGTATTTTTTAAAGTTTACTCTACTGATTGGGTGAAATACAGTAGCCATTAAAGTTCCTGAAACCTTTGGTGCCTTTGCTCCCGATTTATGCACATCTATAGGTTCGTCAGCCAAGAATGCTGCCAGTGTCTACAGCCGTGGCCGCTGGGGCCAAGTCTTTCGATAAAAGCAGAGACGGCTTTCCCCACTCGGGCAGCTTCTATGGGACTTGTTCAAGTGTCAACATTGTGCCAGTAAAACACGGAGGAGGAAGCTGGTACCCAATTTCTGGCCAAACAGCAGACTTAAGCCTTTCTTCCTCGGCCAAAAACACTATGCACAGTACTTCTGGGAAACCAAACTGACTTCCTTCAAGTTATATTTCAACAGGACAGAGCTTTCAAAAGTTTAATTGGATTTTTACAGAATCTCTTTCCAATACCACCAATTTAAAATATTTAGTTAAGCTCTTTCAACATCGGCTGTATTTTTAAGTTCTCATGTTGTTAATGCGAAACTTTCCAAAGGCAAGAGAAAAAAAAGTGACAAATCTGTACAGCATGGAAAACCTTCGGCCTTACCTCAGATAAGTATGCATTTTCTTATTCAACTTGAAAAGTATAGAAATAGTTTGCTGATAATTCCTAATCTTAGAAAAAAGTGTCCAAGTTAAACACTCCTGCTGATAAGCCACTAACATTTCATGCAGATGCTTAACCAGCAAAGGACAAGCCCCCACCCGGGCCACACTGCAGGGCCAGGCCCTTCTCCCCCAGTGGCTCAATCCTCGCACAAGAGAGGGCGGGGAGCAGACCGGACAGAGTTCTGCAGCAGGATCCTGCTGGCCAATTGGCAAGCTCTCACTTGCTCTGAATGACAGGAAGAACATACAGATACTGTTCAAATGTATTTAGATTCTAAGTCACTTGTGTGGGATAAATAATAACAGCTCCCCAGCTCACAACACCCCGTCAGCAGCCATTAAGGTTCCTGATCCTGAAGCCGCGGGCGGCCTGGCAGAGCAGCCCCTCAGCCCTAGGACTATACAGTGAGTGTCCTTGCTCCCAGACCAAGGGATTTTCAGTGCAGCAGCAATGTTTGTACTTAAATTAAAATATCTTTCTTGCTGTGATGAACAGAAAAAAATGACTTCGGGAACCTGCCACAATGCAACGGGAAGTTTCTCTGCTCTGCTGAACACAATGAACAGACTCAGGGCAAGACCTTTCTCTAGAACATTCTACATGCAGCCTTCTAACACGAGGAAAGTCAAAGAAGTACTGCTTTTAAAATAGTTATGGGAAGTCACTTTTTAGAACTTATTACATGAAATCTGCACATCGGCTTCCTGATGACCAAAAGACAACTGAGTCAATTACATTTGGTAAAGACAGAAGCTAAAAACCAACAGAAGCTGGGCACATGCCTGTAATCCCAGCACTCAGGAGGATGGCTGTGAGTTCAAGCCCGCCTGAACTACAGAGTGAGACTCTGTCTCAAAAAGAAAAAATAAATACATACCATCATCAGAAGCAAAGCCAGGGTTTTTTTTTTTTTTTTTTTTTTTGCCTTTTTGAGACAGGGTCTCGCTATGCAGTTCAGGCTGGCCTCGAGCTCACTTTGTAGCCCAGGCTGGCCTGGAACTCACAACGACCCTCCTGCCTCAGCCTCCCAAGTGCTGGGAAGAGCCAGGGTTTATTAAAGATGGTACAGCCTATATACTATACACTGCAGAACAAGACTTGTTCTCTGACCTCAAAGAACTTAAGTATAATAGTAACAGGTTTGTTCCCCACCATGACAGACTCATAGAATCTAATATATCAAATTCCTTCTAACAATAACCAAAAGGGAAAAAAATAAAGAACACTAAAAAATTCATGGGAAAATATCTAGGTATCTGAGGAAAGTGAACAAGTGAGATGATTTAGCTCACTAATTCATACTTTCCTGTATGTGTGCTAGTAACTTTCCATTTGAACAATTTCATTAGCGTACACTGAACAGATCTCCCACATTTGGACAGAGAAAGGCCTATCACAGAGCAGTGGGGCCAACTGTGTGAAGGTGCTTGCCCACAATCCCAGGCCTGGAGGGAGGTTGAGGTAGGAGTCCAGCCTGGGCAAACTTAATAGGAGACACCCTGTCTCAAAAAATAAAGGGTTAGGGAGGTGGGTTCAATTCCCAGTACCACTGCAACTAAAAGACATTTGCAAATGACTAATATTTACTAGACAACGTAATTGTAATGGGCCCGTTTTGAGGGACCTAATTAAACGGATAAGAGTGGATATGATGATTTACTAAGAAAATTCCCTCTTGCAAAAAATCGGGAAATTTATCACTTCAATGATACCAGGACATCAGTTTATTACTTGCTTCAAAACCCAAAATATCAGCCAGGTATGGTGGCACATGCCCATAACCCCACCATTTGAGAGGCTGAGGCAGGAGGCCAGGCTAGGCTATGCAGTCAATTTAAAACCAGCCTGAACTGCAAACTGAGACTGTGTCTCAAAAATAAGGCCGGGCCTGGTGGGACATACCTGTGGATCTCAGCACTCAGGAGGCTGAAGCAGGAGGATTGCTGAGTTCAAGACCAGCCTGGATGACATAGTGAATATTCAGGACCAGCCTGAACTACATAGCAAGACCCAATCTCAAAAACCCCAAAAATAAAAAGACCCCAGAAATCCAATTCATTTTCTCTTCTAGAAATCTATGACCAACTAAGATCATTCTACTTTCTCTGGATCCTAGACACTTAAATTTACTTTGAACTAGTCTATGGGGTGGCGCAGTGGTAGAGCACGGAGTTTAGGATTTTAAAAACTGGGCGTGGTGGTGAACACCCATAATCCCAAAGCTCAGGAAGGGTGAGGCTCCATAGCAGGGAGTTCAAGGCCTACAAAAAAGTAAGGACCTTGCCTCAAAACACACGAACAAAAAAAAGCACCTACTTTAAAAATGGGTGTGGGAGCACACGCCTATAATCCCAGCACTTGGGAGGCTGAGGCAGGACTGAGGCTGTCCTGGGCTACCTAGTAAGTTCAAGGACAGACTGAACTTCAGAGACCCTGTTTAAAAAAAAAGAAGGGCCAGGGATATAGCTCTGTGGCACACAGCCTGCCTGGCAAGTGCAAGGTCCTGAGTTAGAAACCTAGTACCAAAAAAAAAAAAAAAAAAAGAAAGAGAAAACCACCTATTTAGAGCCCCGCCCCTGATTTTCATCCGCACCTATACCACTTCACGAAGCCTTCCAACAGCTGCTTTTGCCTTAGATCATGGCAGACACCTTCCAGCCCTGCTGTGCACTTGCCCTGCCGCCTTGCCTCTCTAAAACAATCGTGTCTGGCCAAAGTCAAAATGGTTTTCATCATGAAAAGGAGGGTTTTTCTCTATTTTTCTAGAGAA